ACCACCGGCAGGCGAACAAAAGCCCACGAAAGCAAAGTAGAAGACCCTTCCACCTTTAAGAAATGTAAATTTCGACTCATCAATAACATCTTCCCTTCTAACCTTTACTTCCGAATCTACTAGCCAGGAGGGCATCCGAAATACATGAGCTACACGACGACGTCTGTAACGACTTTTGGATGCTAGACTAGGCTCATTCACGGCAGTCACTCTCGACCAAGGCCTTCCTGACATCCTTTCACGACCTTCGGTCTGTCCTGTGACATGAATCAGGGGAAGAGTAAGGAAGAGGCCAGGAAAGTTGAGAGACAATCTTGGGTATACACAGGTCTACTTCATTTGGCTGGCCGCCCTCTTCGTCATAGGAGAGCCCCGCACTCAGAGATTTTTGAGACTTTTCCCTACAGCTAAACACCCGCAAACGGCCGTCGTTTATAGGTAGGAGAGAGGAGATAAGGACAGTGTAACAGCTCCTCTTAGTATTTACTCGAGTGTAGACCTGTGGGTGATATCACTGCTGGAAAAAAGTTGTGAAGGAGGCATAGGAGGGAGTACACTACCCGAGGCATACATAACCCGGCCTGTGGGCAGAAAGGACCTTTATGTCTTTAAATAGTCATAGACTCATTAGGACAATAAACATTCACTCACTCATTCGTCAGTACACAGCCAAGAGATCATATGTAATATATTCAACTATTCTATCGTTCAACCAACGGCAACTGAAAACTACCAAATATGACTCAGCACCCGATAGACTCTCGATGATAATCACGCTGTGGTAGAGAGCCACTTAGCTGTAAAGAACTTTACTCCAAATCAACCAATTATCCAAATTTCGGATGTGCTCCCAATGATAGGTATGATGCTCCATGAGAGGATTATTGTGGAGATTTTAAAGAGTTTCATCATTAACAGGCCGGGCACGAGACTAATCAAATCATGTGAGGTGGCCTCAAAAAGGTTCGAATCCGGCCGACTATACTCGATACGTAGTTCTAATTGGATTCATGATGAAAAAAATTACAAACGAATGCTAATTAGCGCCCCAAATACAAAGACTGGAAGTCAATATGTATAACTTGAAGGTTATTGGCTCCGGTGTGGCCAAGGATTTTATTCATCAAAGAGGTGGATCAGACTGTCTGTTGACATGGCAGGGTCAGAGGGAGTTTTGCCGGAAGAAAGACGCCCCTCATCTGTAATGATTAAGAAACAAAAGAATCTGTCCCCGGCACGCGAACCCTAGTAGATCATGAAATTAGGTGTATGAGTGTTCAGCTTTTACAATTCGAAAACTTAGCCTCCACAAAAACTCACATCACAAATCTCCAACTATGGCACCATCGGTAGCCCAATGGATAGCAGAAACGTCACTCGCGTGTCTAACTGGGCCATGAGTGTCCCAAGGATGAACGGATTGGTGGACAGGTGCCGGGGGCTTGACATGGAAGAGGCTCTTACGTGGATAGATATGAACTGGCAGTTTGTAACCCTGGGAGGATGATCGATCCATAAAAGTGACAAGGGATAAATTATGTTGGTGGGATGGAGTTTTCAAGGACTAGGGCCCTGAAGACGATGAGGGATTGAAGGTGTCTTGGTAATATGTCATGGACTGGAGCTCAACTTGACCAAGTCGGATGAGTAGCAATTCTACAAAGATACAACAGGATATTTTATCCGAAACGGCTGGGCTAAGATGGCCATGCAGATTTGGTTGTAGGTTCTGGCGACTCTGGTTATTAATTTTGGTCGATATCGTGCACCCTACCCAATCCCATCGGGCCCAAGACAATCATGAGCCCAAACATGAGGACTAGTACTAGCGCGCCTCTGAGTACTTAGCGCCATTGTGGTCCAACGAGCTAGCCGTAAGGAGGATCCCTTGGCTCCAAACCGAATCCTACGATCAATCTATCTCTATTAAATATGGATTTAGTAGTCCTTTTAAGCCTATTCAATCATATTGGCATTAGATTCTCTAAAACTCTTTGACCGAAAGTTAGGACTGACCTGACTTTAACAACAGCATTGAGCTATTACATTGGAGTCAAGACATTAATAATTTTAATTAGGAAAATTGACCTATCTCTTAACAGGGACACGATTCACTGCGGTAATGTCAATAAGCGGATCGAAAGTAGTCGAATATGTTTCATGTGTAGGTAATATCCGTAAAATATGGTAGCATCAGTGTTCAGCCAGATTAGGTTCCATAAATACTAACAACAAATCCTATTGTGGAAATGATAATTGGTGAGCTTTGTTGGTTTTCGTGCGCATTGTCGGTCGGGTGAGGCGCGTGTACGTCTTCACAACAGAAACCTGTGCAGGAAGCGTTTGCTAGGTTCCCATAACAGAGTCTAGGAAGGCATGGGAAGGTGAGTTTTTCAAACTCCTGCTAATTTGTCCTTCGGACCAGTCAGCTGGGACACGTTACCCGTCAGATCCGTGTAGGATCGACAATAATCGCATCGGGGGGGGAAGGAGTTTAAATATGGTGGGCTAGGGAGGGAACAGGGCTGGTCAACCTTCACTGATGCATATCTAATCGTTTGCTGGGCTGGCCAACTAGACCTTTGTTGTTAACCTGAAAATTAGCACGTTTGCCAAGCTTTAGTCACGTGTGACGCGGCTGTCGATAAAGAGGGCACCCATATGGCTCCCGTGGGAACGAGAGGATCCATGCATGCATGATGCTTGATGTCGGTATCGACCCCGGCTCAAACTTGTTTCTCGAAAAGTTATCGGATGCTCTCTGATGTAATTAATTGATAGCATTTGTAGGGTTTAATGTTTAGCCTAATCGCTTTATTCAACACAACAGGCAACCAAATTCTCAACTAGTGGCTGTTGTGAGAGTGAAATAAATGTCGATAAACTACGAGTTATGAACACCACCAAACATCTCATCTGCCTTGGCTATCCCATCCTAGCATGCCACTGTAAACTCAGGTACTTCTTTAACCAACCATGCCCCCATCAAATTTGCACCAGGATAGATATGATCGGAAGTAGAAAGAAAGTTTCTCCCAAGATTGGCGCTAAGGCTTGAACGTACTTGTATTTTTTTCGTGCCAATAAGTCCTTCCTACGCGACAACTAACTCCTGCCAAGGTACTAAAATCCCATTGAATCTTTATTCCCTTAAGCTGTGACAATAATCATTCCCATGAATGCATCTACGCTGTAGGTCAGGCGTGTGCCTCTCACTTTGCAATATTGAGACAGTTTAGAGGATCCATTTGCTCCACAGCCATGTGTCTACCCTAGGTGGGTCAGTTGTGGAGTATTACCCAGTGGAGCCTGCGAATATACTCACTTTTCCAATAGCTCGTGAAAAATACCATTCAGTCCATTGGCTAGTCTAGTAGAACAGAGGTTCGTCAATAGATCTGTTGTCAGCCGCGCGGAAAAATTTCAGCTCTCGGATAAACATAGTAAGTTAGCGCATAAACGACACTGCCTGCTGAGCTTTCGTGTCTGTTTTGGGTTATGCCAAGAAAATTCTCGATGACAGCACAGCCCAATTCATCATTCCACCACCTTCAACATCAACATTTACGGGACCGTCATCATTACCATTAATGATTAAGTCATATTTACGTGACAACTCTCTTTTCTCAAAATTTCAGTCGATCTATCATAGAATCTGGTAGACCCACCTGACCTAATAGCCCTACCGGCTAATTCTCTTACGAGAAGCTATCCGGTATTTTTCACCAAAGCAAGCCATTACTCCTTAGACGAACAGTGCTACGTCGCCCGACCAAGACTAGGGGTATTTGATGATGGTCAAAGGCTGGGAATGACTAAAAGCAATCGAATGTCAGATATACAAGGCATATAGCCGAATAAGGTGAGAATTAAATCGCTGTGACAATACCACGCTGTATTGTATTCTTCACAATGCCTGATCTCTTTGTAGGCATTATGCCCGCGAATTGACATGTTGAAAGCAAAAATCCAGACGACATGAACAAACTTCAAATCTTTACGTCGTACAGTGTTACGTAGATTCTTGGACTAGTAAAAGATGAACAGTAAATACCTTACACCTAGTATGCCAACTGTCCGTCTCCTAATTCCGAATTTTTGTGATTAATCGGGTGACCAAGGAGAATAGTACTGCGTATGAATGGAGTCCAGGTTTTAGACCTATCAAGGCTCATACAGGCAACCAATGATGGCCACTCTTTCGAAGATTAAACGGCCGAACTACTTTCCATCAGGTTGCAGAAAAATCACTGACTACCCTGTCTGCCGGGTGCTAGAGCCCGAAGGAAGGGCGGGGACTTCATTTGGGTGATCAACACCTCACGCCAAGGCCCATCAAGAACATCATCAATGGTCCGTGCATCTAGGCAAGAGTTTACCTTGCTGCTGCAACTCTTGGATGATCTACTTTGCCTCTGGTTCGGGATGTTGCTTCACCGCCTCGTCTCCAGGAGATACGTACTTTTGCCAATGTCTCGGGGCTTTCCTTTGAACAATGCATGTCATCGTCCTACCAATCCAAGCAGACTTATCCGTAATGCATGGAAAATTCGGTCTGGCATCTCGTATTCTACCCATGAACGATTTAATCGATGTTAGCGCGTGGCCCCATGGTCCGATGGGAAAACACCTACAGGCCCTTCAATCAAATCGTCTAGGTAAAATGATATAAGATTTAAACAATCTCCGCTTGCTCGTCACCAGCGGAGAAGAATAGGGTTTGAGACGTTTTTATCGCCTTGGCATCAACGTTAATAAACACTCAACATCACTTCGCAGGGGGTGTCCAGCATTCGAAATCCTTTCTTCCACATTTCAGGTGAATCTACGTCAGTTTGATTGCTCATATATCGGCTATAATTATAGCGAAGAAGATAGTGATGCCAACGACAAACATTACATAACTTGTTCACAATTTTAAGCCAAGACCAAAGGACATTTAACTGAGCCTTTCGTAACCTAAAGCTGAGCGAAAGTACCAACAATTTTAGACAACAAACATGAAGATCTTTGGTTTGAATTTGTCTCCAAAAGAGTCTATCGAGAACTATCCTGGAATCCTTGTTCCTCTCTCGCAAGCTCACCGTCGCTCAGCCCTTGAAATAAATGATGGGACCAGAAGACCAAGTACAATCGAAAAGTCTAGTATCTCTGATGCCGAGAAAGGAAATGCCCCTCGACGCTCGACCCAAGAAATTGAAAAATCCGAGGCTTCTACAGCAATTGAAGATTTAAGGGCTGAGATCCTAGCCGAGGTAGATGATGAACAGCAGGGTAGTGCATATGAATGTGAGTAGCATGTATGAAGATTGAGATTAAGTACACAGAAACTAATTGGCTCCATAGTAAAGAGCTTAGTTATAAACAAAGCAATTCAGGATATTGGAATGGGCAAATATAATTGGGAACTATTTTTTCTTTGTGGCTTAGGATGGTTTGCGGACAAGTGCGTTCTATCACTACATAAGGAAATTAGTGGATTGCTAACAGATATCACAGCTTATGGTTTCAAGGAATAGGACTCACACTTCCTGCTCTATCTGAATCCTTCGGAATCTCAGAAAATCATGTACGGTATACCACTTGCTACTTCTTCTTCGGTCTCTGCATCGGCGCCAGTTTCTGGGGAGTAGGATCCGATATCATGGGACGGAGATTAGCTTTTAACGCTACGCTACTAATTGCAAGTATCTTTGGCACAGCCGTAGGTGCGGCACAGTCATGGATAACCGTTTGCTGGCTCTATCTTTTCCTCGGATTTGGCATTGGAGGCAATATACCTGTGGATGGAGCATTATTTTTAGAATTCCTTCCTAATGCGTCAAGTCAACTCTTAACTCTCTTAAGTGCATGGTGGCCAGTAGGCCAACTTGTTGCTTCTCTACTCGGATGGGCATTTATGGGAACACACTTCGCACCAGACAAAGGATGGAGGTATTTTCTTTACGCAATGGGGAGTTTAACTTTCACAATATTCATATATCGATCTTTTTTCTTTAAGTTTTACGAATCACCAAAATTTTTGCTATCGCAAGGTCGTCAGTCCGAAGCTGTGGCGGTTATACATGGCATAGCATACAGAAATAAAACTACAACATGGCTTACCGAAGAGATTCTCAATGAAATTGGTGGTGATCTAGAGGCTACTGCTGGGCCAACCCTTACACCTTCCCAGGTGCTTCGGCGAAAACTGGCATCTTTTTCTACAAAACGCATAGGACCGCTATTCGCTACAAAAAAACTCGGGCTCAATACAGCTCTACTTTGGTTTTGTTGGATAACTATTGGGTTAGGCTACCCTTTATTTAACAGTTTTCTCCCACAGTATCTCGCAAAGGGCGAGAGCGCATCCGGGGAGCCAGTATCTATCCAAGAAACATACCGTAACTACGCAATTGCTTCTGTAACGGGCGTTCCAGGATCACTACTGGCCTGTTATACAGTTGAAGTAGCTTTTATTGGTCGCAAGGGAACGATGGCTACAGCTACACTACTTTCGGCTATCTTTCTATTCCTATTCACATCAACACACTCTGCCGCCTATCAGCTTGCCTTTGCATCAATTCTATCATTCTTTCAAAACATTATGTACGGCGTCTTGTATGCATATACGCCAGAAGTTTTCCCTGCACCCAGTCGCGGCACTGGGACAGGAATTTCAAGCTTGCTGAATCGAATAGGTGGTTTGTGCGCGCCTATTATCGCGGCAAATATTCCCGTTGGTAACCCAAACGACCCGATCCTTGGGAGTGGCGGGCTCATTTTGGCTGCGTTCGTTGCCATGCTTTTCCTGACAATTGAGACTAGGGGAAGGCAGATACTGTAAATTGTTGAAGGGATCTCTGGTTGAGATTTTGGATCTAAATGTTTATGAGTTTTATGGACAATGACTGGATCATTAAGGCTTCCGTGTGTTATAGCCATGTTGAGGGAGTTAACGAAAGCTCATGAGGGGTGATTATTAGACTTGTGTTAAACAGACCAGGTACATGTTATGTTTCCTTTTTTTATATACCATTACATACTTTAACGAATACTATCGGCTACAACTGGAGCTTAAATTACAATGATTTACTACTTCAATTCTAACAGTTTAATTCTGATAATGATTAAGCCTAAGGCGATGCTAAGATGGTTTTTGTTTGTTGTTTGTTGAAGTTGGATCTTCAATCATGCTCATGATGCCTGTCTCACAGTTCTGCCCTTGAGAAGGAGTGATTAGACGGAATGAGCCGTAACTTATGCATGTCATGAATAAAGGCAGGGCTCAGTGCACGGCTTGCACTGTCACACGCAAGAGCGCTATTGGTCGAATGGACGGAGAAAAAAAGGAAGTCGGGGAGAACAGGGGTGTGACGCGCCAACAGATCAACATTGATACACGACGCATCTGAGCCGTTAAAGGCCTAGAAGCCTAGTCTATAGCGGTCGGTCCCTGGTCAGCTTTGACAAGGGGTTCGAGCGTACGGGAGGGCGCGTCCCAATAGGGTCGATGGCAGGTAGGGTCCACACATTGAGGGATCTGGATGGCTGGTGGACTGGGTGCGTAAAGGGCATTAGTGGCGCAATGCGGCTGTAGACCAGTGACAGCAGGTCGCTGCTTGCGCTATGGTCCCGCGGCTTGAAGACGGGAGAGCGAGGAGTAGCTGGACGATTGACAGTGGGATATGAGGCTCTGGCCCGTGGAAGATTACGAGGCAGCTAAATGCTATCGGAGCTTCTCTCGACCTGATATGGCCGGCTGGAGGGCGCCAGGCTTGCGCCTCCCACTGATGGCTGGGGTGTTCCTAGAGGCGCGGCCGCCAGGCCTGATGAGCGCATCGGCGCCCGACCAGCTGCAGGCCTCGCGAAGCGCGCTCCACCTCTGGATCGGGGAACCGTTCACAGTTCCGCAGACCATGCGACCCTCCGACCGCCCGCTCGTGCAATGCCTCGTGTTTTCGCGCTGTGCAACTGCACGCGCGCCAGTGTCCTCCAAGCGTGGCGGCTAGACACAGTCTTAGTCAGGCGACAAGGGCACAATGGAGTCCAGCCTCTGGTGCCCCTTGTCTTCGGGCACAATGGCGCAGTGGTTGAGCTGGATCCACCCGCGTCACCCTACGAGTCTGTCGTCCCATACACCCACCATTATCAATCTCCAGGTCTCAACGCCTGGGTCTTCTTGACTCTAATTTCAATGTTGCCTCTCATTCTTTCCACTATCAATTTGTTGGCGGTCTTGATCATCAAGGTCTGTTTCAGGGCATTTGTACGTGCTAGGCGATGAGCAGTCTCCGCAATTCAGAACTCAAGGCCAGTGGAGCCAGACAGGACCAGGTTGACCATCAGTTACTTTGCAACATACTGTATCTTCCTCTAATGTGCTGACTACTGACCTTCATGCGTTGCATGATGCATAACCGGTCTATCAAGGGAGTCTTATATTCGCCGCAGTTATGTGTCATTCCACATAGTACTGATCATGTGTCAAATCTGTATAGCTGCAGATAATTGAACATTACAAAAGTAAAAGACCTTCCAGCCTTTGCCACTACGCGCTATATTCTTCGCCCGCGTAATTATCATGGGATTTCTGCCTTTACTGTTGCAGCCTATCAGCATCACGTTATTCTTCCGATTTGATGGTGTGGGGCCAACAAGAATCTGCAAAATCAAACCCATCTCTTACATATACTTTCTTTAATCACGTTTCATCTTCATCATGAATTTCTTCAAAAGACTGCATCGGTGGATACTAAGAATATCATCGAGACGGGTTGTAGGTCTGGATTTCCAAGAGGAGACTATTGTATAGAATTACAGCGTACGATTTGGAAATAAATAAATTATTCATTATCGTGATTTGGTGCCATGAGGCCCATGCAGGTATTTATCGGAAGATCTGTACTTTAAGGAGGACGACTCAATTTGACGTTTAGAACACTCACACTCAGATTTTATTTGCAGATACCACTAGAGGTTAACACTTGCGGCGCATAACCTCTTCCGTGCATACTCACCACAGGGTAAAGCGTGAAAAGTCTATGGTTATCCGAGTGTGCTTTCATCATCCCACAAATACAATATAACCGCGCGAGAGTGTGGTACGTTGTTTTTATTGGATTCGAACCAGCTTTTTCCTGTCTCCAATGGGGTAGGTGTTCAAGCTACCCAGTATCTACTAGGAAGAACGGCCCGAATGGTGTACCATTGCACCATCCAACCCAAGAGCTGGGGTTACTGTTCTATGAAAAGAGCACGACCTTTGTCCGGTGATGAGATGCCATTAGACTAATTCTTCAGACTATCTTTCTCAACTTCCTCAAGTCGATGATCCATCTAGTAGAATGCATCACCAATACCAAATCAGGGGTAATTTCTTCATCCAGATTTGCAGGCTACACCCTTGAAATGTGTTCATCCCTTGCCCTCCGATCAAAACTTCTTGGAGTGGCTCATTACCACTGCATAAGTTATTCTCAGCTTACCCTGGATCCATGAGGTTTATGGAGCTTTTTCTGTGGTCATTGATGCGCTTTCGAAATACTTTTGCCGTAACATTAGCGTTCGCAATCGGCTGCGCATAGCAAGTCCACCGCTAATATTTATTGCATGAATGAGCTAGTATAGGCCTTTGCTGTCGTGGCCCCTAGGATTATTCATGCACGTCTGTTGTTTCTTCTGAGCTACAGTATGGTATTTCTTTCGTTCGAACACAGGCCAATCATGAGCAGCATTACTTCCAGGACACTCAAGGCCAAAAGATGTCACTTCAACAGGGGATGATGCGGAATTGCTGATAGCTTGACGGATAGAATATATCTTGAATCCCGAGAAAGGTGATGCTTGCCGCATATATGCCTGCAAAATCGATGACCAAGATGCTGGTTCATTCACATCTATGATCATATCTGTTAAATGTCTTAAAGACCTGCACTGTGTCATCAACATCAACATCTACAGTTATTGTTGCTAGTGCTTTCGAAGGATAGAAAAACTAGTACGCGTGGATGGTGATTACGTGACGACGCATTCGAGTGTTATTTTTAGTTATGTTATCTGCGGCGTTGATTCTCTTCAACGCTCAAATGAGCTACTTAGTGGCACCTAGAACTTCTGAAACTTCAAAGCCATACTCAGCCCTACCATAATTCATCGTTGATGGTCCTGATATTTACCTAAGGTAAGATTCTGAGTGGACTAGGAAACAGGGACGAAGTAGTGGGTAAAGCTGACCTTTTCGAGCCTTGTGGGAGACAACCTTATCTGAAGTTCCTTGCATTATCGCTCTCGAGATACCTATCTTGTCGCAAGTACTAATCTTTGGGACTCCCAAGTCGGTAGATGCACTATAACTTGGGAACTCCTCCCTGGCCCTGCTTTCATCATAGTGCATCGAAAAGGTGTCGGGTCAAAAGGTGTTCTTACCTCATTCTGCATTTAACTGAATCCTAGTACAATACCTAGCCGATGAGTATCGATAGCAATGTCCACTTTATCTGCGCCAAGATTCTAAGAATTAGCGGGTTGTGAAGCTAGGATGTTGTAGAATACCCAGCTAATGCAACGAAGTCGTTATTTTTTCTCAATTTAATCGAACGTATCAAGGTCACAGCTGATAATGTATCGGATGATACAGCGTCGATGAAGGGGCATTTAGCTGGCCCGCGTGTGATGTGAGCCCATCGTTACTCTTTCTGACCTCTCTCACACTCCCACGACTCAGTGTAGCGCACGTGTTCGTCGTGCCACTGTGCTCAAATGGTTAGTTTTCGCACAAAGCAAGTGAGGCTCTCCAGGTACTAGGATCTGGATAGCGTATGACTGGAATGTTCAGACGTCATGGTACTCGTAAATTTGCAGGCGACTTAGCTGAGAAGTATTCAAATTTCTGCCAGTGCATCCTACGGGGAATTATATCTCGCTGGGCATGAGGCCATTGTGCCACGAAGTCTTAACACTCTGTCAGCAGTGGTGAAGTAGGCTGAGAAGGATTTAAAAACCTTTGGTTTGGAAGGACTTAACCTGTGTTTGCGTATTTATTGTACTACTTGAGTCTATGACTATCTAGCACATTGGGCTTCTGTCTGACCCAGGACACACCTTGTACAGTGCTCCTTGCCTCTTCTGTTACTTGAAAGATCATTGATATATTCCCATTTATGAATAGCCATTCAGCTTAGTATTTACCCGTGGAATTCGGCCACCTTTTCCACCGAACCTTCTACCCAAAAAAAAATTGAAAAATTAAAAATTAAAAAAAAGGTAGCAATGGAAACTGCGTGCGCGGGAAAAAGTCTCAAAAATCCTGCGGCCCCAGCCAGGCGAGGCCTAGACATCGACACCACATGAGCTGCGCATTTTCATCTATATCTCCCTTCTTTGTGACAGTTGAGGCCGACTTGATCCAATCCACCATCTCCGTATCGGGTGCTGGGTACGCTCCGGAAACTCATCGGATGGCTTTTCCTCCGTGATCAAGGTTTGGTGATGAGTAGAGCTCCGACCCTACCTTCTGATCTGATCGTGGTTAGCTTCATGATAATGGTGATAGGGGAATGTGTTGAGGGATGAAGACGATACAGACCGCGAAAGCGATTGGGAATCCTCGTCGGAGTGAGGACTTTGTTACTCAATCTCGGCTCTGCAGACTCTACAGTGAGAGCTGGAGTTTCGTAGGGGACACCACTGACAGGTGTTGAGAATAGTCCCCCTGGGAATCATGATCTCGGCCGTGTACGCCGGTCCTTGACTCCTATGAGATATAGAGCTTAGCTTAGAACCATAAAAATCAAAAAAAAAATATATATATATATATATATTCTTTGTGCTATACTTTCTGCTCCT